TGCGCTTTTGAATAGAGCGGGCGGCCGCCAAAATAGTACTACACACACACACCTCATGTACATTGTACTTACAACTTACGTACACACACGCGCACATATATATACAGTAGTGAGTTGTAGTATATATAGTGTCGTATAGAGGAATATAGCTGTATATAATGATCCGCGAGAGAGCTAAATACGTATATCATATTATTAAACATATTATACATCACAGTGCAGTTTGCGTGCACCATTCGTACGACGACGACGACGATGATGATGATGATGATGATATGCCGTTCAGCGATAGGACCATCACGGCGTCGGGTTTTTTGAAATACGGCTGATCGTTTTGCCGGATATTAACGGCGTCATCGGTTCGCGTTTAATCGAGCTGTGCGTCGTCGTCGTCATTGTCCGAGCGGGCGGAAGGGAAGTCATCGGAAGCGGCGGCAGTCGTGGCGTGGGAGTGTGGCGCGCCGCGGACGAGACGGGGCCGAAGGCAGACATCGAGGGTGTATCGATTACGATGTAATACACTTTGCTTCTTTTAAAAGGGCTTTAATGAAATACCGTCAATGTCGATTTGTCGGCTCCGGACGACTGCATATTATTATTATTATTATGTTATAGTGCACACTGCAACAACCCGCTGCAGAGATGAGCGCAGTCGATCCGCGATATTTTTGTACATAATATACAAGTATATAAATAAAATAGGTATTATATTATTATATATATTTTCGTAATTATTAAATAAAGCCTCTGCGACTATGGCCATTCCAGCCTGAATTGTAAATTCTGAACATACTTAATAATTACATTAAGAACATAATATTATTCAAATTACAAACCATTGATTAAATTAGCCTTAACGATGAAGGTATTTTGGTATGAAGGTATCGTGTATTTTAAGTTGTCCGGGGGGAGGACTTCTGACGGAATGTTGGATATTCCAGCTTCTTGTATCTCCGTTTGGAATGTAAGACATTCAGTTATGATGTGTTTGATCGTGAGAGGTATGCCATAACTGGCGCATATATAGAGGGGGGGGGTTCTTCTCCCTTCATCAGATACTGGTGGGTTATCGAAGTGTGGCCGATTCACATTCTATTAATAGAAGTATTATAATATATATTAATATTAATATTAATATTTATTATTTGAAACACTCGATGGCCTTATCTTATTCGTGTACACAAAATGTCAAGACTATATTATTATTTCCTTCCTATTATTTGTTTTTTACTCGTATACGGTTGAAAACAAAATTTGCAGCAGCATATTACTCGGTCAAATCTTGGAGTCAGGAAAATCAAATAACAAACTACACAAAAAAATTACATCTATATTATAGACTATAGTCTATAGAGTATCTTTTAAGTATAATTTTATGTAGTAAGATATATTTGTATAATTTTATATTATATACATAACATCGTGATAGTCGAAATGGTTCGTATCTACACATATTGAACATTCGAACATATATTATGTAAAGGTACGTGTTATATTCTGCCCACTATACCTAATTAAACTGCAGGTGTAGGTGTGTAGCTAAACAATCGATTGCAAATCCTAGGTAAAAAATCCGAAACCTCAAAATCCAGAGTGGTAAAAACGCTGAGCCAAAATCATATGATAAAAAAAAACATCTAATAGATTGAGGACTAATTTTATAGCCAAGACCCAAGACTGCAGTCTGCAGTGTTCGCACTTGTCGGTAAACTTGAGCTTTCTTTAAATTAAAATTGTACTGCTCATAAATATTATTATACCTAGTACAGATATTGATTTTAGGTCGACTGGACCTAATGATAAAATTACATCTCAAGTTCGCTGCCCTGAGTTAAGTACACTAATTTTACCAATATATACGCCTCGCAGCGATCGTCGATTTTCTTTACAAATTATCATTGTGCAGTGTGATCTCGAACAATACCAGTTATGTTATTAAATTATTTTTATTTACGATTCTGGATTTTCAATAATTTGCCTAATGGAATCAATTCTTCAATAGTTTCCACAATTTTATAATAGTACCATAATATATTATATGTATGCAGACATTGTGTATACTTGTGTTTAATTACTGACTATACTGTATGTTCTCCTTCTCACAACTATCTGATTTTCTTGTTGTTACTTAAAACATAGATAGTAAATATTATTTTGATAAAAAATACATTAGGCATAAATTAATAATTCTAGCGTCATAAAAACGATCAAAAAAAAATCGTCGTTTGCTTTTACATAACTCTTTTAGATTGTCAATGCGTTATTTTATCGAATTTAATTTAATTTATTTGATTAAATTAAAACCAGACAATAGAAGGAATTATTTTATTTATATACTCCAAATCACATTATGGTCCAAATTGAATATCGTTAATATCAACTATAACAATAACAATACCCACTCAATATCTGTGCCAAATAATGTATGGTTTATTGTTTTATCTGTCCCCCTCATATTAGAGGTAAAATGTTTAAAATCGAATTATCAAAACATCCATCCATTAAACATTACACGTATTAAATGTCATTAACTATTAAGCATTATTACATTTTGAATTTGGATTACTATCGATAGTTTTATTTAATCCTGTTGTCAAGAACAATATAAATTGTATGTGAATTATAATTTAATAATAACTCAAACGATAAACCTTCGTACAGCTATTCATAAAGTAAAACCCACTATAAATATTTATTAAAATTGTTTTTCTCAAATTGAACACTCATTGTACGTTTACCAATTATACGATATACCTGTACAATAAACAATTAAATTCTTTAAAATATTGTAACGTATCCTCTTCACCTGGGGGTCGCACATAAAATAGTTTTTTCACAAAATATGAAAATATATTACTTTATTAGGTAGGTATTAATACATGTGTGAGATTTAATTTTGTGTTACGATATAAAGAACTTAAAACAAAACGCAATGATAAAATGTTTATATTACATATTTTGTATATAAGCGATCATGCATTATATTATAACTGTTATAAAATATGTAGGTACAAAATAATACTACAAGCATCGTACGTATGAATAATTATTAAAACGCCATAATATTATAATATAAAACATTTAAAAAACACTCATTCGCTGTATCTCGTAAATTAAAACAAGAATAAATGTTACATAAATCGAGCTATGTGCTATTGGATATAATTTATTAAAGGTATTTGAATCCTAAATTCTTGAGAAGTATTTTTTAGCCGCATTCGTTTTCCGGAATATTATATTATATCCTTAAGACCTTAACGTATTGCTAGGTACTCGAAGTAATACACACAGTAGTAAAATATACATTATTCAATGTTATTGAAAAATTATGTAGGTAAAGGTACCTCGAACATAATGTGAAATTCGTAATATAATCTTTAAACATTTTTATTTTTATCAAATAAGTACAATTTAGTCATAATATTATACGACGCCTATAGTCGTATAGAATACGCATATATTGTATAATATATTATATTTATCTTTCGCTATAAATATGTAGGTACTATAGGTACTTAAGCAGAGTCAAGCTTTATTTACAACAATAATGTAATAATATTTGATGGACACGTTCTTGTTGGAAACTCTGAAATTCACACACACTTTATTAAGCAAAACTCAAGCTATTGCCGATATTTTAAAAACTATAACATTTCTGGACTGGCGTTATACAACTATACATTTTGTAATATAATATGCCAGAAATTCGTAACCGTTTAATAAACGTACACGGATAATACATAAACTACCAAAGCCCAATTGGTAATTTATGTGATACAATAGTAAAATAATACCGAAATAAATGCAAATTTATACTGATTAGCTTTAAAAAAAAATATATAAATTTACTATTATTCCATTTTTCGTTTTACTAATAACGCGATAAAATTATTAAACTTATAATATTATAACGTATTATGGTCTTGTTATTTAAATATATTAAAATGTAATTCAACATTTTAAATTATGAAATCATGTATATATTATATGTATTATTATTTTTGAAAATATGTTTACGTCCATTACAAATAAGTGTTACGACCAGATTTAACAATAAAAACTCCCTTTTTTTGTTCACGTTTAATGCCCTCGGACGATGATTGAAAGGCATGCATAATGTAATATATTATGGTGTTTACGTAAGTAAGTAGTATCAGCGAGCGAATGTCAAAAATTTGCAGCTGCAGCTGTAAAATGTACGTCGGACGGAAGATCGACGGGAAAACGGTTAATTCGAGACGAAAAGTGGAAATTATTCAGTAGCGAATGCTCTAATATTATAATTATATTATAACAATAATAAATTATGGAAACGAACTGTCCGCGGCAGAGTATGCGAGTTTCGTCGTCCCGGGCATGTAATGTTACATAAACGTATTATGGTATTATTTTACCTACGTGGACAATTAAACTGGTCGGATTTTGATATTTACCCAAATTATGATTATATACTTGCAATAATTAACGTGATAAGTTACAGCAGTAGAGTGCCAATACGGCCTATATAACGCGATGATGTCGGTGGGTAAATCTGTATATTATATTATACTGAACGGTTATGCTATACCAGATACCTATTATACATGTATTTATAGAGATGCACACGTACACGCGTTATACCCACTTTGGACCGAACTTCATAGCTCGATAAAAAGGTAAATTTATGTCACGATAACGTCTCTGTATATTATGTCCGTTATTGTTGTTGTTGTTGTTATTATTATTATTATTATTATTATTATTATTATTATTATTATTATTATTACTATTATTACTATTATTATTATTATTATTATTATTATATTCGCCGGTCCGCTGTTGGAGAGGAAGAGGATATATTTTTATAGGCGTGTGTACACACGGGGGCGAATTGATTAGATATATCCCGGGACGAGACCGATTGTGAAGGGGGGAGGGGGGTGTATAATATTATTGCCCATACAGATATAATGTTGCATATAAATAAAATATAATAAATTTAATAATATGGACTCGGGACGTTACGAGTCCGGAGATGCGTGTCTGTTCGTATATAGATCCCAAGCGGGTTGTTCGGGGGCTCGTGTTTCCGACCCGTTCGAGTACTTTTCGCCGCCACTCGGGTTATAAACGCCCTTCTTATATCCACACACACCACCACCACTTCTCCGCTCCTTCACCACATCATCGCCGACGACTCCACTGCCCCCCCCCCCCGCCGAACACCACAGAACTGCAGCAGCAGTGGGCCCAAAACGCTCGTCTTGGTGCAGCGAAATCGTCATATCGTCGTCGTCGTCGCCTTCGTCATTTGCCCGGGAAAACGCATACGTCGTCGTAATATTTATACTCGAAATATTGCAGTACAATAATAATGTTATACAACCCCGTGCATAAACGCCATATTATTATGATATTTACAAACCTTTTTCACCGGATAAATGAAAAATACCTATTCCCATCATATTATTAGATACAATCCTATAATACATTCATCGTATATTATAATATTATTATATGTATTATAAATTATTATGCATATTATGAATGTATAAAAAGGCATTGCGTTCCCGCGACGTCGTTATAAATCTTCTCGTTACTCGCGTATGTATGACCCGCGCCATGTTGGTAACCATTGACCGTTCAAGAAATGCCCTATACACATACATATGCATATACATATACGAGTACATAGATATTGTATACTATATAATATAATATGTGCGTGTGTGTGTGTATACTATTTGTGTGTATATATATATATTTATATATACAATATACATATATGATGTACGTATTATACGAATACACGGGGAAACAAAGACCGACCTTTTCGTCTGTCCGGAAAGTAACTTTAAATGGATGTTATGGAATTAATACAAATGATAATAATAACGGCGTATACCCGCCACCGCCGCATGTATATATACGTACATATACGGCCATTGCATCACGTCAACCCCGATCATCGGTTCCCGCTGCTATTTATATTGTTTTTATTGCTCTCCGAGCCGTTTCCATCCACTTTTATCACTGTTTTACTGTATATACATTTCCTATATATTTATTTAATATATACAAACCTTATAGTATATACTATTATTATTTCCTCTCTCCTATATACAGTCAGTCGCACGCCCGGAAGCCAATATCGACTACCGGCCGGATGAGTACATCCGGTACATTATTGTTATATCGCCACCATAGACTTAAAAATTCGAGCGTCTACTCTCCGGATTCCGGAATACTGCTACCACATCCGTAGATCATCCCCAAGTCGAGGCCGCACGTTCAATTAAACAGCCGATGACCACTTGTTAACGATTGCACATAAATATTGTGTTGCTTATTAATATTTAAAAATAATAAATTGTTCCTATATTACAAAATATGAATCATACTGCTGAAAATAATTTCATAATACTGCGTCATAGAAATATTTTTTCATTCGACGGTCGTGTGCTAAATGACGTATATTCAAGTATTAGACATTGGGACTTATACTGCAGAGACGACATTATTTTTTTATAGTTTAGTACTATAAAACAATAAAACACGCTACACTCTACTTATACTAGTGTTTCAAATCATCTTATTAGACAAGTAACTTGAATGTGTTTACCAGTAGTGATATTAAACAGGGTATATATACCTATATATAAATCACAGAGTAAGCTGATTAACTTTGAAAACTGAAAAGTTTATTATCTACAGTTCTGGTCCAACATAAATAGTTAATATTTCTTGTACTTAAAATTAATACAATAATATATTAGTTGATCTTATAATTAATAATTATTAAAAATAGAATATTATTATGTATGAATATTATTAAATATTAGTTAAGATGAAGTTTTATCAACAGAATATATAAATTCTCTATTATGTTCATATATAAGCATTTTTTTTTTTAGAAAAATAAAATTTTGTCGCTATGTTTGTTGTTATAGATGTAAGATGAGAGATGACTAGATGAGTTATTATTGTCTTGTTACCTACTTAATAATTATGTTTATCAATAACATTATGGAAGTATTCTGTATTCAAAGATAAGCTTATTTTTCATTTTTATTTATTCTCAATAAATCACGCAGGTATAATATAATATGTATACATATACATATGTTATAACATATAATCATCATACCTATACTTAATTCCATACATATAAACTTTAAATGCTAATGTTAAACATTATAGTACGGAGCAGTGGCGTATATACGAATTATTTTTATTGTGGGCCAATTTATCAGTTATCACTAGTCAAGCATAGCACGACTAACATAGCCATAACCATACATTTTTTAGGGTGCTGGGTGGTTATAATTATGCCATATACAGTACAAATAAAAATTGCGCAACTTAATTTTATAATTATTATGTAAAATAAATTTTTTGATTCTTTTTTAAAAAATATTGGCAGTGTCATTTATATATTTTAATGTTATCTTACTATGAATTTAAAATTAAAGTCAATAAGTCATCAAAGAAAGTCCTGACAATCTTACATTTCCTTGTTGAATCCTCAAAATCGATTTTAATCAACCGGCTAACTTAATCATGGTGAAAGACTGTAAACAGTGTAGATATACATGCAATGCTTTAATTAAACCTTCAATTTCACTATGAGCTCTGGCCTAGGAGGTCTCCTCCCTATACACGCCATTGGTACGGAGTGATTCACCAAGCATGCTGAGTGCTGACGCCCAATTTTTTCGTTATTTAATAATGAATTTATTCAAATTCTGATTTTTGGAATTTTTGAATATACTCAAAGACAATTTTTCAAACTGTTAAATTTTTTTCTACTATCCCTTTTACCCTTTATCACTGCTGAATTAATTTTTTCCAGTATCATGTACTGGGCAGTGGGCTGGGATTAAATTATATTTTTGTTTTTTATTGCATATTGTTAGGTTCAAGTATAGATAATTATAATATAATTTTTTTTTGTAATTCTTTTAGTAGATATTAGTATTTTTTAGAGGCTCTTTGGATTCGTCTAATAATTTACCATATTCAAGTTATCACACTAGTTAAAACATTTATTGTTAATTTTTAAAATTGCAGGACTCATGTGTATATGGAGATAACACCACAGAGTCTCTAACGTTGGACTCATACAAATTTGTGGCGGTACAAACTTCTGTTTTTCAAATGAGAACATCCTATTTTTACTGTAAACTATTTAGTGGATAATTAATTTGAAAATGTGTGTGTATCTAATTCAAAATTCGACTTAATAGGTATTTACTTAGTGATTAAAGTGTTTAAACTAAGGTTAGGTTAGGTTAAACTTTAAAATGGTTTTACAAGAGTATAAAATATACGTAATACCTATTAGAACTAGTATTAACTATAAATGTAGGTAATTTTTTTCAAATTATTAATGTTGATAGGTTAATACTTATAACTGAAATGTTCAAATCACCATAGCCCCCATATCTTATAAACCAAACAATTTATCCTGAACACAAAATTAAAATATTTAAATACTAGTCGTACGAATTTTGATTCTGACACGTCAAATCCACTGAATTATTTACAGTTGAGAAGGGGTGTTCTCATTGGAAAAACCAAAGTTACCGGAAACTCCTTAAGCAGTGCAAATCTCAAGAATTTGAAAATATGTTTTTTAAGTAGGTATATTTAGGAATTCCAAAAAACAGATTTTGAATAACTACATCATTGAAAAAAAAATTGGTGATCATGCTTTTTGCGAATCACCTGTATTATTTTACTTATTTCCTATCTATTTAGTAGGTGAATATAACTATATAATTGACCGTTGTAATTCGTTTAATGTTTTATACTTGAAGGGTATACATACTATAAAATATATGATCATAATATTTGTTACTTTAAAGTATAAATGTATACACATAATCATTTCGATGGAAAGGAAAACAGATAAACCCACCATACCAATATACCATTATCGCAAACTTATAAGCCATTCAATGTATTTCGCATTACCTATAGGTAAATATTCTGAAGTGTCGATAAGAAATGAGTTTGAGCGTTAGTATAAGATTTTCGACTGCTATCGTTTTCCTTTTGCGCACATATATTGATCCCGTTATTAATGAGACACTCAATTTACGTAACGATGATACCGATATGAATGCCGACGAGTTGAGTGTGGTGTGCTTCAATATGTAATGTGTAACAATAAATACACAATATTTATTTATTTATCTACATTTTTAAAGGCTAGGAGAACAAAGTAAAGCAATATTTAAGTACAATATGATAATAATATAAAAGACAAAGAATACAATTTAGAGATACAATTTTCTTAATATAAAAATTGAAAAATCAATCAACATCAGACAAGTTATTAATAAAGCGCATAGCGCGATCGAGTGAACTTGCGAACCCAATATTAGGTGAGTAGAATTTAATATTAAACTTAGATTGGTGCCTTAAGTTAAAAGAAGATACGGATATATAGTCGTGATAACAAATCAGAAGAATCAACTAACCCATGCAGTAATTTGTAGTTAAACGAAATGTCGAATTCTCTTTGTCTATCTACAAACGATTTTAAAAGCCACATCAGTTGAGCAGTAGGTACCAACACATCGAAACGAAGATACTATAATGTATTTATTGTTAATTTTGTTTAATAGTACAATAAATGTCAATTTGAGATGCATACTCAAACGTACAAGTAAAAAATAAAGTGTATTTAAGGAATTTAGATCTGTAAAATGGGTATTACGTATTAAAAATCTAAGAGTTTTGAAGCTTAACGCTTTATGACAAACATAATCAATGTACTCGGAGAATAATAAATTAGAGGAGAAAATTACACGTAGGTCATTAATTTATTATACTGATGCTGATGGGACGGAATTAATGTTATAAGAAAAATCAATAACTGCGAACAGGATCTATGGAATGAAATTGAACGGCATCTAACAGCACTTAGAAAAGTTATTTAAGTTATTTTGTAATAATTCTCAATCAGAGATATCTTTAGAAGCTTAAAATATAATTTTAGGTCGTCTGCGAAAAGAAGAAACTTGCAAAACGGGAAACATTGAATGACATCCTTGATAAAAACATTGAATAATCAAGGTGAAAAATGACCAAATTGAGGGACACCTGTAGATACCGAAATTGGAGCGCGCTATAAAGTTATGAATCTTAACACATTGTATATGCCTTATGAGATAGAAACCAAACCAAGCCAGTAAGAGATTAGACATTCTAAGTTGTTGCAATTTATGAGCTAATAAATTATGCGGTTAACTCTGTCTAAGGCTTTTTGTAAATCTGT